TCAGAAAGCTCCTGGATGTCTAGCTCCAGAGCCTTTGCCTTCAGCGCTTTCGGGGCTGTGAAGACGTCCTCGTTGAGGGGGCCCCTGGGGTGAACAAGGAAGGAGATGAGAAGAGAAGACCATGTCCCCCCCCTCCATGGTCCCTCGTTCTTTGCACCCAATCCTTCCTCCCACTAGGAAGACGACGGTTGCCAGCTCCTCTCCGTCCACCCCTTTCCTCCCCCTGCTTTTGCCCCCTCTCCCCACTGACAAGGGCCCGCCAGCAGCATCCCTCTGCCCTCCAGAGGGGCTGGGACAGCAACTCCCAGATCCCCAGGCAGCACGGCTACAGGGGGTCCCGGCTGGGTGCTGCAGCCTTAATGCACCCAAAGGGGAAGGATTAGGCCTCGCTGGGCGGGAATTTCGCTGCCTGGAGCGACGGAAGACAGAGACCCCCCTGCAAGGACTCACTGAGGGTCCACCGACCTGCTTCTTTTCTCCCCACTCCAATCCAAGGACCCCTTTCTCCCGCTTTCTCTGTAGCCGTCCAGACACTCGCCCCTCCTCCTCTGTCCCAAGGCCAGCTTTCTCTGCCTGCGGCCCCATCTGGGAAGTCCACTGACCTCTCCTCCCCACAACAAACACCCAGCCTTTCCCCTACCCTGCAAAGCTGCTCAGCCCCCATCAAGCCCCCCGCCAGCTGAGCTCTGCCCACTGGCCTGGAGGCGGCCGGCTCTGTCCTCCCTTCTGTCTCTGATGGGAGCTGGGTGCCCCCAGGGTCCTTCGGCACGGCGCTCTTCGAGATACCCTGCTCCTAACCCCCTTCCTCTACAGTGGGGCTTGGCACTCACGTCCGCACTTTGTGCCTCCCCATGATGAAAGAGACTTTGCGGCTCCAGGGGTTGACGAAGCTGGACCAGCTGGTGTCAATAGTGACGTATTCGCCGTTGCGAGCGCAGAAGCGGATGGGCGAGTGGTCGAAGGGCTGGCCGGCGTATTGCAGGACTGGAAAGGGGGGGGGGCAGGGTGAACCACAGTGGCAACTGCCGCTAGGCCAAGCTTCAAGTTACTTTAAGGCATAAAGCTAATTTAAAAAAAAGAAATCAGCCTCAACCGCCTCGCATGCTACGCTCGTTCATCCCATACTTACTCTTCTTGTGTATGGCCAGCATAAGGGGCCGGTCCTCAGGGTGCAGGTAGAAAAGGACAGGGGTTCCAACCAGATCTTGGGGGAGGTAGCCAAGCAGGGGGGCAGCTCTGAGAATGAAAACAGGCAGCAGTCAGGAGGGTTTAGCGCAAAAGGGAATCGTCAGCATCCAACTGAGGAATTGAACAGCCCTCTCTGAATCCAGGCAGAAGATACCTGACCAGAGACTTCAAGGAGACGGTCTCCCTCCTAAACCACGCAGAGGAAGACCCACCCCCCAAGATAACTGACCAACACGTCCTCCTTTCTGAGCAGGCCGCTTGGATCGGGGAACCCCGGAACCGCCTCCCAAGGCTGTTCCCAGACACCCCACCACACCTGCAACCCCAACTCCTCACCGCTCATCCACATCCTGAAATAAGCAGCTAGGCGTGTGTCTGGTGGTGAAGATTCTTTTATCAGGAGGGATCCGGGGGGCTGGGGGTGAAAAAAAGGCAAGGCCCAATTAACACAAATCGTTCCGAGGACGCCTGGCAGGCGCACGCCTTGTCCTACCGATGCATAAAATCTGTCCATTGATTTCTAGAAACTTTTCTATTTTGATTTTTCCCGTTCTCGAGATTCACAACCCGGGTTTCCCAAAGGCTCTGCAGTTTTTCCCCTGAAAAATGTCGCGCGTTAGAGCAACTGGCTTTTGCTCTGCGGCTTCCCTCCCGCTGCCTCGTTGTGAGGAGGTGCAACAACAGACCTACAAGAACAGCGAACATGGGGTAAGTAAAGGCGCGTAAACTCCTGTACTGCCAACCCCAAAAAGAGACAAACCTTCCCCCTACCCGCCTTGCTCATTCAAGGATCAATCCAGCTGTAGCCGGAGTTCTGGAATTTAACACACGCGTGCCTGAATTTAAAGCTATGTTATGGAACCTCCCAGGTGAAGCAAGTCAGACACACAATTAGAGGTATTTTCTCTGTCACTGATTTCGGGGGGGGGGGGGGGAGGATATTTTTTTGCTTGTTCACACTATATCCCGTTTTGCTAAGAATAGAGCCAGTTTTATTTAGCACAGGAGACTCTTTTCCCCCAAGTTGGGAAAACTTGTTTTTTAAAAAAGGCTCCCTGCGTGTTAAAAAGCATGTCAGGGAGAGGGTTAACTCTTCTCCCAGACGTGCTGGCCTTCTGCATGCAAAGAAAGGATTAACACGCATCTTTATTTTAAATCAAGGTTCCACCTGAAGTGCTCTGCCTACACAAAGTAATAATAGCTGTTACCTTAGGTGGTTTTTTAAATCAGTGTTCCTCAACCTTGGCCACTTTAAGATGGGTGAACTTCAACTCCCAGAATTCCCCAGCCAGCA